TTTCAATAGATTTTAACAATTTTTCACTGGATAATAGGTTGATATGTGAAGTTTATATAAAATTCCGTTTTTTGAAAAATTCACTTCCGGTCCGAAGTTACGGCCGTATTTCAAATTTTAAAATGCACTTTTGTCCGGTGTTTTTCTCAGAAGCGGTTTGATGTAAAGATGTGAAATTCACAGGAATATTAGATCATGACATTCTCTTTGTTTCTACGTGTTTTTTGTTTGTTTCCGGCACTTCCTGTCCAAACCGGAAGTGAATTTGTGTTTCGGTCAATTTTTGACTTTTTTGTTTTTTAATATTTTTTCAAGATATTGTTAGACATAACAGAGATAGGTCCATAAGTGCCAAATATATAATTTGTTTTGAAATCAGATCACCCGTTTTGTAGATTTCAGCTACTTTCGTTTTGCTTAAAAAAATCAAAGTACTGAAAGTACTGAAAGGGCATTTCTTACTTAAACTTACATGAAGGTTATGTTTACGTTTCTCTGCATGCAAAAACCAATGCATATAGTATCATTTATAAAGAATGAAGACTACATTTAATTGCAATAAAAATCAAAGTACCTGAAGTACTGAGAGGACTGTTTTAGATACCCACCTTTTTCTAACTACAGGCGTGTTTTCTGTACATAAAAATCAATGCGTACAATAAGCTACCTATGGAAGCTATTTTCATTAGCCAAAAAAAATCAAAGTACCGTAATTACTGAAATATATTTACTATTCTTATTTACTTTGACTTATATATAGATGTTTCTCTAAAAGCAAAATTCAGTTCAAACACTGCATGTATTATAATTTGTCATGTTTATATATAAGGACGGTGGATACTATCATTTTTGTAGTGAAAATCAAAGTACTATAAGAAGTGACAGGTTGTTTTCTCGATATCCCCCCATTTAACTTTTAAATTTAAAAATAGTTTAGATATGCTTCTACTAATGAAAAAAAAAACCATGCATACAATATCATATATAAGGACAACAGATACATTCATTTTTGCAGTAAAAATCAATGGACTGCAAGTACCGAAAGGACAAATTTTAGATTCTTTACAACTTAATTATTACAGACTGTACACGTTTCTCTACGAAAAAAAAAAAACAAAAACAAACAAACAAAACAAAACAATGTAAACGGTATCATATATGAACGGAAGACCTTTTTGTTGCCATGGCAACAAGAGTCTAGTTATTATTATTATTATTCTTTTTTTTTAGACAAAATTTTGTGCACGCGATTTCTCGAAAACTATTCAATGAATTTCCTTGAAATTTTCAGGGATAAAAGGTCTTTATATGAATTTTATATAAAATTCCGTTTTTTGGTAAATTCGGTTCCAGTGCCAAGTTATGGACAATTTTCTGATTTTAAAATGCAATTTTGTCCTTGAGTGTTCTCAAGAATGGCTTAAGATATTAACTGGAGACTTGTTAGAGATGATAGAACATGATTTCTAGATTGGAGAGGGCACCTTTTCGTTCGTCGTCGGCACTTCCGGTCGCTTACAGAAGTGATCAAAGAAATCATTAAATTTCAACTTTCTTTTTTTAAATCAATTCTTACATCACAATATTGCATCTCTTTTGTAGTTTTGAAATATGTTGGTCCCACCGGAAACAAAAACGTCAACTTCCGGTTATAAGAGAAAAACTACATAATTTGAGTATTTTTCTTTCCCATTAATATCTTTTGTAGATAAAGTATTTGGAATGAATTTTAAATATGTTATTCAGACTGCAAAGGTCTAGAGTAACTTCAAATATCTTTCAAAAATTCACTTCCGGTCGCGTGTTTTTCTGTCCTAAAAATGAGAAGTTGTCTAAGCAAGATCTCGGAAACGATAAGAGATTAAGACATCAAACTTATATGAGCAACAGACCTTAAGATGTAGGCAAAACCACTTGGGTTCAGAGCGTCAGCCGTCACTTCCGGTCGTCACAGGAAGTGATCAAAGAAATCATTAAATTTCAACTTTTCTTTTTTGAATTAAAATATGCATCACTTTATTGCATCTTTTTCGCAGATTCGAAAGATGTTGGTCCCACCGGAAACGAAAACGACAACTTCCGGTTATAAGAGAAAAACTACATAATTTGAGTATTTTACTTTATAAATATTCTTCATAGATAACGTATTTGAAATGAATTTTAAATATGTTATTCAGACTGCAAAGGTCTAGAGTAACTTCAAATATCTTTCAAAAATTCACTTCCGGTCGCGTGTTTTTCTGTCCTAAAAATGAGAAGTTGTCTAAGCAAGATCTCGGAAACGATAAGAGATTCAGACACCAGACTTATATGAGCAACAAACCTTAAGATGTAGGCAAAACCACTTGGGTTCAGAGCGTCAGCCGTCACTTCCGGTCGTCACAGGAAGTGATCAAAGAAATTGAAAATTTCAACTTTTCTTTTTTTAATTAAAATATGCATCACTTTATTGCATCTTTTTCGCAGATTCGGAAGATGTTGGTCCCACCGGAAACGAAAACGACAACATCCGGTTATAAGAGGAAAAACTACAAAATTTGAGTATTTTACTTTATAAATATTCTTCATAGATAATGTATTTGAAATGAATTTTAAATATGTTATTCAGACTGCAAAGGTCTAGAGTAACTTCAAATATCTTTCAAAAATTCACTTCCGGTCACGTGTTTTTCTGTCCTCAAAATGAAAAATTGTCTGAGCGAGATCTCCAAAACAGGTAAAAGATTAAAACACCAAATTTTTATGAGTAGCAGACCTTGAGGAGTACGCAAAACCATTTTGGTGAAACGCGTCCATCGTAACTTCCGGTCGTCACAGGAAGTGATCAAAGAAACCAAAAAATTTAACTTTTCTTTTTTAAATTAAAGTTTGCATCACTTTATTGCATCTCTTTCGCTGTTTTGAAATATGTTAGATTCCACCGGAAACAAAAACGGCAACTTCCGGTTTTAGGTGATAAACTACGTTTTTTCGATATTTAACTTTCTCATAAATTATGCTTATCGATAAAGTACTTGAAATGTTTTTATGCATTTTGTAGATACTGCAAATGTATAGCGAAACGTCAGAGATTTTTTTTTTTTTTTTTTTAATAAAATTCACTTCCAGTCACGTGTTTACCTGTCCTCAGAATTAGAATTTGTTCTCACAATATTGCTCTGCAACAGTAAATGACTGAAGTCTAAAACTTTCAGAACTGATAGTCAGACATCAGTTTATTTGAATCGCGAGGAAATCTTGTATCGCCGTTACTTCCGGTCGTGACAGGAAGTGATGCAAAAAAGTGAATGGTTAATGGTTAGCACGTTGGATTTTCACGCTGACAACCAGGGTTAAATTTCCAGAGTGTCTGAATTTCTTTTATCAACTTTTCAGCTTGAATTTACGTTTTTATTTTCAAAATTGGACGGAAGACCTCTCATTGCTCGCAATGAGTTTCTAGTTATTATTCTTTTTTTCTACTTTCTTCTCCGGTACTTTTTTGTCCGGGAGTGTTCTCATAGAACCACTCATCCGATTGACATGAAACCTTTTTAGGGTTAATAGGCATGTTGTGTAGGTGTTCGGAACGAAGGTCATTTTGCGCGCACATGCATGCACGTGTGCGCGCGTGCAATGAGTGAAATGACTGATATACTTCATGAAGCCGTAACTTTTATATTTCTTGACAAATTGCTTTGAAACTCAAAATATAAAGATATATTAGTAGTCTAGACAAGATAACACGGTCAAATTAGCGTGAACTCACGCGCATGCACGTGCGCTCTTCTCTGATTGGCTGATACAAAAATCTCAATAATTTCCTTGTTTTTTTGACAAAATACTTTGAAATTTAGAATATAAGTATATATTATAAGGTGCTACAACATGTTATATAGGAAATTTCTTGAAAACACGCGCATGCAGGTGTGCTGCAATCTGATTGGTTGAAACTTTCAATGTCCATAACTCCCTTGGTTTTCAACAAAACAAGATGAAATTTACGACATGGATAGGCACATAGAGCTCCTACATTATGATACTATCAAAATTGAATGCAAGGCCATGCATGTGCGTATGCTGAATTCTGATTGGCTAATACTTAAAGGGTTACATCTCTCTTATTTTTCAATGAAATTCTTTAATATTTAACACAAATGTATGTATTGTGACACACTATAAGAAAATTATTGTGAAAAATATAGAAAACATGTGCAACCACATGCGCTGAAATTTGATTGGCTAATACCCATATGGCTATATCGGAGTAGTTTTCCAATGAAATACCTTTAAAAATAAAGTGTCCCTCTGTATTACAAAAGTATTGTCTAATTTATTGAAGCTTGTAGGGAATGGGGCATCATAAGGGATTGGGGAGCCGTTTGGGGAACATCTGTAACGGTTCCCGTTACAATTAGCACTAGTTATCTATGTCATTCTGTTAAAAACAAAGATTTTTTTTAAAAAAAATTTTGTTACAAAGCTTTATATAATGATAAATAAAGAACTGTGTAATCTTGATGCAACATTTTTTTAATAAGGTTGCTGCATGACTCTTAGATTTATAGAGACAATTTACCTAAAAACTTTTTTTAATACTTGGTGATTTTTTTGAATTTTAATGAGTAGTTTTGAGCTGCAATTCGCATCTGTTACAAGATGTACCAACTGGCAGTATCTAGATACTATGTATCAAACATAGTGAACCAGAAATGACAAAGTCAATAAAAATGAAAAAAAAAACACCTGTAAAATGCAGAAAAATTATCCAATCATTATGAAAATACCAGGTGCACACCTTCATATGGTGAATAATGAGTGTACAAATTTAAAAACAAATCCATGCAATAGTCTCTGAGATCAGGTTCGGACAAAATCCCATCTACAGACAGTGGGACTGACAGACATACATGCTTATTCCAATATACCCCCAAACTTCATTTGCGGGGGTCATAATTAATAAATGAAAAAGTTCAACACTTGAAACATCTGGATAATACTTTTTTAATTTTAATCCAGAATAGGAGATGTGTTTTAAATCACTGTGCAAAGTTTAAAGTTATCAATAGAAAGCTGTTGAAGTCAAAATAAGAGATGCAAATTTCTTCACTGAGTGTATAATTACTACGCACTCTCAATAATGTGAAATATAGCTGCTGGAGATAAAAATTACAGAAAGAAATATAAACACACTTTTTTAAAGTTAAAGATTATGCAGATTTTTTTTCAACAACTTGGAAAAAGTATTTTCTTTGAAAATACTAAGATCCTACCCTTATGGCATGTATTAGCTTTAACATTTAAAATTCTCAAAAATGATTTTGTTCAAATGTTAAATAAACTTCTCAGGTTTCATTGGAATGTTTAATATTCAAACAGGCCGGAAACAAGAACATGCATAAATAAATAATTTTCAATGATAAATGCCATTGTTTATTGCACAGAGTTGAAGATAATATCTTCTTCAGTTGACATTTCTTCTGTTTCTTCTCTCACATCGGGGACACTGAGCTCCTCTCTTGGCAAAACAATGTCTGCATATAAAAAAAATATACCGGTATGTTTGTAATTAAAAGCAACTTACCTTGATTTCAAGTAAATTACATTTTGAAACAAGTTTAAGTTCAAAATTATATTTGCTTTTGCATAAATATCAAGGAACAAATCAGTGACACAGTCACACAGACATGTGTTACCTGTGTAGTACAGACGTGTGTTACCTGTATTGTACAGATGTGTGTTACCTGTGTAGAACAGATATGTGTTACCTGTGTAGTACAGATATGTGTTTCCTTTGTAGTACAGCATGTGTTACCTGTGTAGTACAGATGTGTGTTAGTAGTACAGATGTGTGTTATCTGTGTAGTACAGACACATGTTACCTGTGTAGTACATAGGAGCACTGGGAGCACACCACAGCAATGCTGTCAAATGGAAATAATGTCTCATCATCATCACACAGCTCACAGATAAAACCTTTGGCCTGACACTTCTGTAATTAGAGGAAAATGTCTGTATTATATACAGGTACACAATAGCTAGAATGTTTTACCAACATATATTTATTTTTAGCAACGTTTTAAATTAAGTAACTCATGCTAGTTACATTCTTATAGTAAACAACTTTTAAAAAATTTCTCCATAGAGGATTAAGCATAGACACGTTTCTTCACTATATACCTGACAATCCGTTTTGATATGTTGGGCCCATGTTGTGTGTATACTAGCCAGCTCTGGGAGTAGTGTATCAGATGTTATGTCTAGTAGATCCTGCATGGAGTATTTATCTGAAGTCTCTACAAAGTGTTGTCTTTCCTTCAGTAAAAGCAAGAACTTCTTTTCCATTGCCTCACTGCACACCAACAGGTACTTCTTCATTATCAATAACTCCTCTCTCAGTTTCTAATGATAAAATGTACCATTACCCAAAATTATAAGAGACATGTAAATTTTTTTTTCAATTCTTGAAAGTATTAGGTTTCAGAAAATTACAGGTTTCTGAACCTAAACCCTTTACTTTTGTGGAAAAAAAATTGTTTGCCCCAAGACAAAAATTTTGCTTCAAATCTTACTCCTTATTGTACATCTGCACAAAGTAGAAGTTATTATGGTCTCCAGTCCCTAGAAATGAACGTCCATAGACCAAGGATTTTGATACAATCTTTAAAAAAGATTTTCAGAACATATTCCTCACCTTTGCATGCTCCAATGCAATGCTGTTTACAAGTTTTATGCTAAAAATAAAAGTTGTGTGACCTTGACATTGACATGTATTCACAATCTTTCTTGCTGTTCAGTGCACTTGAGTTTGTCAAAACTTCCCTTTCCTCATATTTTATTTTTTTTTTATAAATACCATATGATTTTGACTCATTATGTTATTTTAACATTAATTTGAAAATAATATTAATCTATTTTAAAATGAAAATTGAAAGACATTTTTATGGAAGCAATTTTTAATAGTATAATTAATCATGCAAGATCCAACAACCAGTTAGAGTTTTGGGTCTGTTGTAAGATATTTTGTAAAATACAGTCCTGATTTACAAACTGACCTTGACATCATTGAGCTCCTCTACGAAGTTGAACAACATTGGATTGACATCCTGGATTCTCATCACAGCCTTAGAGGTCATCAGCTTCAGGAACTGCTTAGAGGCTCGGCTTACCTGTATCAAATTTGTCATTTTTTTAATTAAAAGTTTCAATAGTAACTAGATTTGTCGTAACGCCAAGAATACCCCTGCAGGTAGGCAAAATTTCAAATGCCATATTTAGTTTTAAATTTGTATTTGAACTTGACCTGTATTTTCTAGTAAAATACCTGCATATGCAATTTCAACCTTATACATAGATCCCTACAAAAGTTAGAGAGTGGAAACTGAAAATATCTTTTTTTTTTCAAACTTCAAGAGGGAAATCTCTGTCAAAAATCATCGGACCATGACCAAATTCGAACTAAACCTGCGTATTCCTATGACTTATCCATAAGTCAAATTTGAGTTGAATGTGTGCAACTGTTGCAGAGATAATGAACGGAAACTGAATGTAAAAGAATGACAGAACAGGGTCATGCTATATGCCCCAGCCATTTTATGGTGGAGGCATAAAAAAAAACAATATATATTCTACAAATCTTCAGTGATAAAATAAAATTTTGCTCTGATTTTTTTTCTTCACATATCTTAAGAAATCTAATATTTAATTGACACTTTTCTTAGTTCTAGAAATGCAAGTTAATTTTACAAGTGTATGCATATGAATTTTGTATGCAAATGGAAATATTTATTCTATAATCAGTTAAACTGTTCAATATGTAGCAAGAGAGAGCTTTCTAATATAATATTGATAAATAAGAAAGAACACTGACCTTTCTAGGTTCAAAATCCCAATTATGCAGAACTCTTGCAGGGATGACCATGATATTGTTCCAGTGACAAAGTTCACAAAAATAATTTCCAGAGTAATCACAAAGTCGAGGCTCACTGAAACCAGACTCTGAAAAAAAAGTCTCAACCATTAAATGTACAAGAAATTCACACTGAAGGAGAAAAGATGTACATGTATGAAAAATTTAATATACACAAACAAAAAAATGTGCACAGGGAGCACAAATCTGCTTATTTTACTGATGTTATTGAATTGAATGTGTAAGGTAAATGTATCAAGTATAAAGAATATCTTACGGAATGAAATGGCTTTCCTGCATTCAGCACACCTGTAATTCTGGGCAGATAAACCTCTGTTTGGACAAATTGAAAGACAGAATTCAGGGAACTCAAGCACCTACAAAAGGATTCATTTTAAATATAATGACAGAAAAAATGTCAAATTACTTATGACAATTTATTGTCTAATTTCTTACCTTCTGACTTGCACACATCCTAGTAATTGTATTAAGACACTTTTCATGACAACTATATCCACATTCTGAAAAAAATGCAATGTTTTAAAGCCCATGAAAACATTCACACTGTAATTACTAAACAAAATGCTTTATCAAGTTACATAAATACCTGAACACCTGAACCATTTTTGTATGACACCCAGAATCATAGCATTACACTTTTCACAATAGTACTTGGTACTTCGACTCTCCTGAATCTGGAATTTGTGTCCCACCACCAGTTTTACATCCTGAGGGACAGGTTCTGGACCATCCTGTTGATGTAAAATATCTGTCTAGGTACATACATCACTCAGTCTTAATCTCGGTAAAATACTTGAATCAGATCTCTCACCTGTTCGGTTTTATTTAAGGGTACAACTATCTTTGGCCCTTGATGCCTTTTCATTATGCATTTGGTATGTTTACCTTTAACTCCTGGAGCTTCAGTCTCAGCTGAACCAGTTTTTGGACAAGATTTTTGTGACGATCAGAATGAGGCTGAGCTCGACCAATCAAATCTTTACAATTCTCTATAGCCATCTCCATCTCTTCTGTGCTACTCAGTCCAAAATGTCCCTGCGTGTGAATATCAATACAAGGTTGTCAGATACAAAATAATTCACATAATTTCACATACATTTTTTATGAACATCAAAAGAATTTTGTATCCATGCTAGACCTTGTACTTTTGTTCATTTAGCTTATGACTTGGATCAGCTACCTCCCCAAAAAAAGTTTTATCAACTGTCATTCAGAGGTAAAAATATCTACCTATTGTAAGAATTTTTCTAGAAAATGTGAAAAAATTAATAAAATGTTTGACACCTCAGGATGAGAGAAGTGATCCTCTGCGAGTCCCAGATCAGCATTTGTGACATCTGGATTGTCATCAGAAATGTCTGTCCAAGAGCTGCCATTAGAACCTGACTTAAAGAAAGGTACAAGCATCAGATCATCTCCCACATTAATTACATATTTATAGTGACCCAATTTATAAAGGAATGTTCCTTTATCTGCACTTTACATTTTAATTAACTGTGATTCAAAAAATAAACAATTATATAGCAATATTTAAAAAAAAATAATTCTCCAGAATTTACACACACCGTTACTGGATTTGAATCTGAATTCCTGTTCACTAACAGCTGGTATGATTTCTTCTGTAAAGTGGTCTTCCTCCATGTGTAAATCTCTGTCAAAAGGATTGAATCTGTCAACAGAGAATATTTTCTTCAGCTCTGACTTTTGTTGGGACTCTTCTACAACGACTTTGACTTTGGGTTCTAATGTCTGCAGTGAATCTAACAGTTCCCTGTTACTTGTACTTTTCACGTTTACTGTCACACTATCTTCTTCACTGAGTGGTTCAGTGTCTTCAAGCCCTGATGGAGGTCCTACTTTCTTATTCAGGTCAATCTCTGTAATTGTGTAATCTTTCTCTTCGTCTTCTGATGAGGTGAAATCTGAATCAGTGTCTGAGAGTTTCCTTACATTATGTCCTGTTAACTTAACACTAGCTGTACTTGACTCTATATGATGTACAAGGCCACCAGAGACCGTACTTTTGGGACTTACTGGGAGATCTGAGGCTCTTCTTACTGTCGATGTTTCAGTGGATTTTTCCATGGCAAGACTCAGAGGCTGCAACAGAATTGAAAATGTAGCAAGATTTTCAAAGACAACCACGCTATATTTCTGGAATACACGACTTGTACTGAATACTGATATTCTTCAATTTACATTTACAATTTTTAAATTAAAATCATGTGGAAAAAAAACCAAAACAAAACAAAAGTATATCGAAAAGCTGGAAAACCGCCAGATACTTCCTGTCACCTGGTCACGCGACCCATAAATATTTGCAAAGATCCAAAGAAACAATGTATAGATATGAAAAATTACTACATGTAATACATTTAATGAAAATACCGTTCATTTTGATTGCTAATCTTGTGTTACATCTGATTTAAAAATTCTTCTAAGCTTTCTCCAAGTCCAAGCTTTCACTGCTTTGTTTATTTGTTTACAAAGAATGTTGAATCTCGATCCCGATTTAGTAGGGCTGCGTTTTCTTACGATACGGTCCTTAACAATTCTTTCTATTGCATAAATTTTATAAGAACTGGGTGTTTTAGAACCTATTTCGTAGTTCTTGTCCCACTTTCATTACACTTCAAATTCATACTTTTAACATCTGTAAATCCAATGTGTTATTTGTAGTACAGTTGTCTATAATTCAATTTTTATTTATCAATTAAGGGTCCTCACGGCCCAAAAAGAAAGTACATTGTAAACACTTGCATGCAATACAATATACATACACACAAGAGAGAACGAGTTGCATGATTGATAGGAGAAGGACATAAAAAAGGAGGAATAAACCAGATAGTTTTTATTCAAGTACATGTACATAAATTCTGCGCAAATTTATAAAATATTTTGTTTTTTATATATATCATATATATGCAAATATATTTATATCATACACATATGAAAGTACATACTTTTGCATAATTTATCACAAAACAGTTCACATGCCTGAGACTTGACTTAATGCTTTTTGTAAAAATCTTCCGAGTGAATTTAATATATCTAATTCCTCACAATTTAGAATCCAGAATAATTTTTGTTTATCAGGCAATTTTGTAAAATGTTTTACTTTAGATGAGATCAGGTTAAATAGGTCTTCTCTTTCCTTTGTGAATTTGCTACAGTGAATAAGGAAATGTTCTTCATCTTCAATTAGATTGTCTATATGTTATATATATATTATTATTATTTGGGATGTGCCATCTCCTTATAATGTTTAATTCATTATTGATCAGTTTTAATTCAAAACAGCTAAGCACAATCTTTGTAATTGAAATTCCCAATTTTTTTCAAAGAATTACAAGAAAAACTGCCTAACCGATGGTATGGAAGATCATGTAATTTTTCGATACAAACCATTCTTGAATATCGATACGTATCGATATATTGATCCGACCTAGAATTTAAACAAAAGGACTATAGTTTCTTTGTAATGGGCCGAATTGAGCCACCATAGCAATTACTTCTTTTATGTCCAGCCAAGTTCATGTGATGCATTAATAACCGTAGAATTTATTTATACATCTTTGCGAAATCGACGTACTTAAAATGTAAGCACATATATTACAACAAAGTCTAGCATATAAACTTAATGACCATATAAATATTGAATTTGAAATATTTTCACTGAAGGTATAGATTCATTTACATATCGGGTTCTCCATTTTCAAGAAATTTAGTCAGTTATATAGTATCCGTAGATAGTGTCAATTTGCTAAACATGCATTCTAATAGTATTTCGCTTTTTTAAAAAAAAAAAAAATATTTAACATCAAAATATGTTCAGGACTTGCCTATTGTTATGTCCCCGTAATTGGAGATTGGGGGGGGGGGGGTATAGTTGTTTGCATGTTTGTCTGTCCGCAAAAACTTTAACCTTGGCCATAACTTTTGAACGGTTGGTGCGAATATTTCGCATACGTATTCCTTGTGACAAGACCTTTCTCTGGTTACCACAATTTTTGACTTCATGACTTGGACCTTAGTTTTATCTATCTTTTAAAAAAACTTTTACCAAACATTAACTTTGGCCGTAACTTCTGATCGGTTGGTGCTAGGGCTTTCATATTTCACGCGTGCATTCCTTGTGGCAAGACCTTTCTTTGGATACCAACATTAATTTTTGACCTCATAACCTTTGAGCCTGACCTTCTTTTGAAAGACTTTGACTTTAAAGCTTAGCAATGAGTTGCCAATGAAAGAGCATCAGTGTTTCACAAACACATTTTGTTTTACGGTGTTCTTATTTTGCTTTCACTTGGACATTCTGGTTGAATACAGCTTAAAAATCAAAGTACTGAAAGTACTGGGAAGCGCTAAGCATGTTTGCAATTTGAAACTCATCAAATTTATTTTGAATTTAAATTGCCTGTTGCATTGGAATAAGTAATATGTTGACACTGCGACCACTGGGGCGAGCACAGCTGTTTGATAAATATTCACTTTAAAATAAAACTTGCATCCGCCTCTTCAAACTGCACGAGGATACATTTGAAGGTTCGAGTCTGTGACATCACATGACGTCGTTGTTGAACAAAAAGCGTCAAATGTATTATCTCTCAACAATTTCATTAAAGCAAGCCAGTTACTTTTTTAGTTTTGAAGATTACTTTGTTTATCGTACGAAAGAGCAATACTGCGGTTATGGGAAAAACAGTCTGTTTGTGTTAAATTGCATTTCCGGAAGTTATTATGGAAAAACGTTCATTTGGAGCAATGTGCACAATCCGAATTTACTCTTCGCTCCGGCGTTCCTTTAAGAATTAGTTTGCAGTTATAAGCAGCACTCGCTTCTAGTTTTCTTTAACATCATTACAATTATGCTAATTTATCCCACTGTGGGACGTAGAGGCCGGTCCTTTGGATAAGATCGTTTAAACCGAGGTTCCGTGTCGCACTAGGTGCTGGTACAAAAAAGATCCCTCGCTGCTCAAAGACCATAAGAGCCGAGCACAAATCTTAATTTGCAGCCCTCTTCAGTCAAGTGGTGGTATCTGAATATGAGTCAAAATTCTCGAAAAAACGTTACACACACCCCCTCACAGACATAAAAACAATTATGTATGTTTACATGTATAAAAAATTCAAGTGGAAATCCTAATTTGCTAAACTTCAAATTAAAATGGCTTAGTCACAATACTTCGTATCAGTAAAGTATCAATAAAAATATAATAAGACAATAACATATAGTTTCTCTTAAATTTTGTTAACGTGGTTCACCAAATGTTAGACAAAATATTTTACCAGCACTTCTTTCTCTTGTGTCTTTAAAAAGCCTATAAGAAGCCTTTAAAAAGCCCACGGTGATGGATGTCGCGGTGTATTCAACCATAGGTGTTTAATTTCAGGATTGAGTGTTATGTGTTTTTCTAAGTATGTCTGAATACATTTATTAATAAAAAATCGCTGAAATTAGGACTTTTAAAATTATATATAATATTTCTGTATATAAAAAGACCAAAGGTTCGACACTCGTCATCTTGGATTCCTTTGATGCCTCGGTTTACACTTGATTTTATTCAATATCTACACTTCTCCATCGCATTAGGAGTCTATAAGAGGTAGCTTTGCGTATAAATTGCAAGCAAATGGACGTTTGCTTGAAAATGTATATTTTGTTCAATTTTGAACACTTGAAAATGTCGCTGATATCCTTAATGTGCAACATTGACAGCTAAAACTGTTCTGGTGATAATTTTTATCAATAAATTCATTACGTGTTCACGAGTGTTTCAGATTGAAGATTGGCTGTTGTTGACTATGATTTTATTAGTTAAAAATTAAAGTACACTCGAAAAAAATAAGACGTTATTTTTTATTGCTTCTATAAATAATTCCTTTTTGATAACGTATTTATTTCAGTTATGAATAAAAGATCTTAAAAATAACTAAATATTTGGTCTTAATTGTTTTTAGTATATTTCAATTTTTTCGTATTCATAAGCGATTTATAAACATACGATTTTATAGAAAGGATTTTATAAGAAGTACATTCAATGGATTGAGTCCGATAGGAATAAAATATCTAAAGCACCGGTATGTTCGGTGAAAAGGAATACTGAAAATAATTGACCCGTAATTTTTCTGCTAGTTTCATGCATGATAAATAATTCAACAATCCATAAATAAAAGAAAAGATGATATATGAACAAATGAAACTCCATCTTCTAATCTTCATGAAGGTATATACAACATTGTTTCATTCTGTATTTATTCAGTCATCTGAAAGTTGCTAAGCAGACAAATCGGTAATGCACGCACAACTTTACATGAACTATTTCTTCCTAGGTTCCTGACACAAGTATGTATAACTATTCCTGTCCTTTTGCTGATCTAGAGCGTTTAATTAAGGTTTTGCATTTTGGCCATATCTTGCGCACTGCACACACAAAGCACTATATTTGTCATCAATATTTTCGAGAAATTAGTTTTCCTCTCTAAGTGGATTAGTTGAAAACACAGTCACTACGTTCCCTACACGTATGTACAGCCGCAATCTGACTTTCCTTGCGAATTATTTACATAATATTTTTTTATCCATGTTACAAGTATAGATTACAACACCAGTATAGAAGTCCATGAATGCATTCCAGTTACTAATTGATACTGAGATGCGAAAATCAACATCATTGATAGCTCTCTGCATGGTGCAAGGGTGACAATAGAAAGATTTCTTTTTAGTTATATTGTCTGAAGTAAGGGGCTAGAGGAAGAAATATAATCTAATGTATATAAATTATATAGAACGTTAGTACATTGCAAATCAATTTTATGAGAAATTTTCTACTAAATAACTTAAATAATAATAATAATAATAATACTTTATTTAAAGAAGGTAACCTGATTAGTGCAAGCACTTTTCTTCCCCAGGGCCTTCTGTCAATAAACATTATAAAGTTAACATAGTTATACACATACAAACATATAATAAATATATACATAAATATACAAAGACAAATATGAATCACAAATTATTCTGACATTGTTTTACATAATGTTTTACTTTTTTCTTGAAAGCATTGAGAGTTGGTGACATTTTTATATGTACAGGTAAATCATTCCATAACATGGCACCAGAGTACTGGAAGGAATTTTCAAAAAGTTTACATTTTGAATTGGCACACACAAGTCAACATTAAATTCAGATCGGAGATTGTATTGGTTATTACTTTGAAATTGGAACATGTCATTAAAATAAGTAGGGCAAGAATTAAAGAGGGATTTATATAGTAATACATATTTATTTACAGTAAGTTGTTCATAGACAGTTAGCCAATCAAGTTCATCAAAAAGAGGTCGTGAGGGTGCATCAGGGGGAGCATCTAAAATAAACCTTGCAGCACGTTTTTGAAGCTTATGGACTCTGTCAAGATTTGATCGGGATGTATTGCCCCAAATTGTAAGGCAGTAATCAATAGTAGGCATGATATATGCATTATAAAACAGCTTGCGTGTTTGAGTGGGAAGATATTTTTTAATTTTTCGGAGGGTAGAAATTCTATGTGACAGGGACTTACACACATGGTCGATATGTACATTGTACTGTAGAGAGTTATCTAAATATACTCCAAGAATCTTCTCATGTGTTACGTTGTCTAGCTTCTGATTTGATATGTATAAAGAAAAATCATGCTCTGAGAATTTTGATCTCTTCTGATGTGTTCCTATTAACATGCATTTAGTTTTTGAAGCATTAAGTACCATTTGATTCTGAGAGCACCATTTTTCTATACAAGCAATGTCCATTGATAATGCATTTACAATAGATTGGGAATCTTTGCCGGGGACATGTAGTGTGGCATCATCTGCAAACAAATCTATGTTTGAATTTTTAATATTAAGTGAAAGATCGTTAATGTAAAGTAAAAACAGAAGAGGCCCTAGTATAGATCCCTGTGGAACTCCCGCTGTGACTTGCTGATAAGATGATTGTTTGTTAGACAGATGGACACTTTGAAGTCTGTCACTTAAATATGATCGAAACCACTGTAAAGTTATTTCATTAAAATTATAACACTGTAGCTTTTTAAGAAGAATTTCATGATTTACTAGGTCAAATGCCTTACTGAAGTCAAGAAAGACAGTACCAACAAGCTTGCCTTGATCCATTTCATATAACCATTCATCTGTAATTTTTGTTAGGGCTGTTTGACATGAGTGCAGTTCTCTGAAACCTGATTGAGATTCTATTAAAAGATCAAAGTTTGAAAATAGAGATCGGATATATTTTGCCACATGTTTTTCTATAATTTTTGATAGTGTCGGTAAAATAGAAATGGGTCTGTAGTTATTTGGATCTAGTTTGTTTCCCTTCTTAAAAACTGGTGTAACTTTGGCAAGTTTAAAACTCTTAGGAAAAATACCAGTTGTAATACTAGTATTTATTATATGGGTCACAGGTTTATGTATTATTTGTGCAGTAAGTTTTAATAGACGTGGACCAATGGTATCTACACCTGATGATTTACTAACGTCTAGCTTATTAAGTGAGTAAAGCACTACATCGGGACTTATAAGCGGAATACCAACTATTTCTGTACCCATTTTAGATTGTACAAAATTCAAAAGGCCGTTAATGTCACACTCCTCTTTATTTACACCTTCAATGAGTTTAGTAGAGATATTTGAAAAATGAGAATTAAACATCTCTACAATTTCTTGTGTATCCTCTGTAACATTATTATTTTGTGCCAGTGCGGTCGGAATATAATTTTGTGGAGTAGAAGCTAATTTATTTAATGCGTCCCACATCTGGCGTGGATTTTTGTTTTGCTCTATAGTTGATTTATAATATTTTATTTTTGCAATTTCGATAAGTGATGTTACCTTATTTCGCCATATTCTATAGTTTTCAAAGTCTTTATTTTTATGGAAGTTATTGTGCATGTCAGTAACAAGATCGAAAAGCCCCCCCCCCCCTTTTTCAGTTTTTTTTCTTGAATTGATTTTTAAAAATATGCATATTTTCTCCTATGTTTCGGATTGAGTGAAATTCGTGAAAAACGGAGAGCTCCTTATTTAACAGCTTGCCATTTCACTTGTAAGCATTATCCATGCGAACGCAGATTTGAAATCCAGATATTTGACTATATAAGACACAATCCAAAGCCAAGTAAATTCTTCTTAACCGCGGCTGTGCTTCGAGAATTTCTTGGGTTAACCATTTTGGTCTTGCATCATACTTCACTCTTTTTGTTTTTATTTTTGCATGTTTGTCTAGTACAGTATTAAAAAGTGAATAAAAATTTTTTAATTCCAGTTTGAGCTTTTTTTTTAAAAAAAAAAAATATTGAAATCTCATCTGAGTTTTAAAAATATGTACATATTCAATCACTAAATTACATAATATATAATGCACCCTTTAAAGGTATTTGCACCATAGATGTTTTTTTTTTACTTCTTCGAATTACCACTGCAGCAACTGTAAGCTGTATGTTACACAAGTAGTGTGTACCGACATGATTTTTAAATGAACTATAATGTATAGGGATAAGAACCGCCCATATCCACTAACAGCGGAATTTCGTAATCTCCTCTACCTTACTAATTGACACCTATAATTAGAACTGCACGTAACGCAGTATTAGATCAAAATAGCCGGGGATTTCCAGTTGCATATTTTCAGAAGACTCGGTGGAGTTATCTAACTTGCTTAGTGGCGCTGGATCGCGAACGGAAGTAGTATTAAGATGACAGTAAGCGCTTTGCGCTGCGCTTAGCGCTTAATTACACTTAACTCAGTAAGGCAAGATGGGAACCTTTGTAGGAATTGTTACTGATAAAACAACATAAAATGTAATTAATTACAAGTATTACTTTTACTAAATGTACTGAAAATTAGAAAAGATTCAAATTTTTCAATAAAAAAACAATACGTTCTTGTAATGACATACATGGTACAACACATTATATATATATACTTAAATTTGTACATTTCCAACAAAATTATTAATTTGTATATACAGGTATACTACTAGTATATATATATATATATATATATATATATATATATATATATATATATATATATATATATATATATATATATATATATATATATATATATTTGGGATGTCAACGAATATTCGAGTACTCGACTATCGTTCGATCATACCGACTATCGACTAAAATTTTTTTAGTCGGTTATGCGTTAAAAATTTTCCACTTAATAGTTTTCTTAAATTCAAGGTTAAAAAATTGGATCTGCTCAGTTCATTTATTAACGTATCAGTGTTCTCGTGAGTAAAACTCAGGGAAAGGCTGAACCGGTGTTCGTTTATTGTTCAAAGGAATTTACCCCCCTTTTGCCTATGTACCCCATGTTACATTGTCGTTATGGTGCTGGGGGTCAGATTGTGCAATATTTTGCCTAAGATACTCTATTTTTGAGTCCCCCTCTCTGTCCCCTATTTTGTTAACTGGTTTTTACTTCTTTTCGTCATTTACTCAATAAATGACATAATTCAATTCTACATGATGTTATTTGTTTTTGCCTGCTTTTAACAAAAAACAAGCTCAGTCGTTTAGCAGGAGAACTAAGGAACAGAAAAGGATTTTTTTTTTGTTCGGCAAACATGCATTGACATACTCTAAAAGATCCAGATTGTAAAGTTTCAACCTGCAATTCCGTAAGATCTCGTATAATGCAACTATCAATTAATGAATAATAATTAAACAACTGTTAAATACGTATTTGTGAATTGGGGGACAGTTATGAGCATAATTTAAAGATGTTTCTTTCTGATATTCATATCAATCATTTTAAAATTGTATTGATTGTTTGCAAAAATCTCATAATTAAAATTTATCACATGCTGTCGTTGTTTTTATAAGCGTTACGCTTTAATATCACGGGTCACTGACAATTAAGACACATTCAAATGGCTTCAGATAAGAAATCAATTAAGGAATAACTGTCTAATTTTTTGGATTCATGATGTGATCAATCGAGTGGCTTGCGTGATAATTTGCATAAACGCCTTCGGCGTTTATGCATAAAATTATCACGCAAGCCAATCGATTGATCATCGTCATGAATCCAAAAAATAAGACAGTTATTCCTTATATTTACATGCTCCTGATTCTGCAAATTCCCGTGCTAACAGCCCCGCTTCTGTCTCTATTTGTCCCGCCCCGCACGTGATTTTTTTTTAACCGCGCCTATCGATGAACCAGTAGATTTATGTAGAAATAAAGTATTTTTACAATTTGTAATTTTATCTCGGACAAAGACATTGGAAATGCAAATATTAACGGGTACATGTACTAGCAGCATGAAAAGAAAGGATAAATGCGAGCGTTTGACATTCTGTATATAGATAAAACTTGCAGTAAATATTATATTTGAAATCCAATACATTGGATATACGTAAATGTTAACGATTCAATAATTCGTTGTATAATGGTTAATGGTTGTATAATGGTAATAGCGTATAGATTAAATATTATACAGGCTAGCAGTCTGTTAAAGATAAATAGGAAAAATGACATGAAAAATTAAATTTCAACGAGTACTCGACAATCGTTCGACTAAAGCCTCCGACAATTCGACTAAGTTGTCCGAGTAAAATTGACATCCCTAATATATATATATATATATATATATATATATATATATATATATATATATATATACTCAATACTTATATCTCACAGTAAAAAAACCCACAGGAGTTCGCTTGCCTATCAATTTTACTGAAATTTCTAGTAAATAAAAAAATACGTACACATGTAGTACCTATAATAATAACGTTTTTCTTTCGTATTTATTGAAAATTTCGATAAAATTTATATATAGGTACGCGAACTCCTGTGAAACACACACACACACACAGAACAGTGTCTTTTGCTTCTGTGAATTGTAGCAGTATTATGATACTAAGTTGATATACATGTGTTCTTTAAATCATCAAAGAATGTTACGTCAAACATAAACAGGCATGATGTTAAATCTCGTAGATAAGTTGTAGATCAAAGTCAATATCCTCCATTCCTTGTTTAATCATGGCGTCGTGTCGGTCATTTTGTGAAATCGTGTACCAGTTTTTCCAGTCGCCGACCTCTCCTAATAAAATAAACCCAACATATATTGAGAAATAAATAACGACTACAAACTATTGATGATACTGTAATTTCTAGTTTTTTTATTTTTTTTAAATGGTACATTTGATATTCTTTTTTTTTTTTGGTAAAGCCAAATACATACAAGATAAACAATGTCACTGAAATATTTACATCCACTGAATATTATTTCCTTTATTTCTTAAGAAACTCATTGCCGTTTATCATTGAGTAAACAACACTAGGCAAGCCACCTGCATAAGTTTCTTCAGCAACGGCTGTTCCATCAATTATGCATACAATGACATACTCTTCTATAATACAATATTTATCATGTTTAATAATACTTTGAATGTTTTTTTTATACAGATATAAATATAAACAATAAAATGACTTTCTTTGTTTGTTAGTACGGGAATTAATGTCGCAGCTATTGCAGAAAAAATTTTACATAACCCGCTTACGCGGGTTATGTATTTTTTCTGCAACAGCTGCGACATTAATTCCCGTACTAACAACAAAAGAAAGCATTTTATTGTTTAAAATGCCTTGATGAAGAAGGAATATACATGTTCATGTATCATTTATCATGTGCATGTATCATCGGCTAACTTTGTTTCAAAGTGATAGTTTGGGTCTGATCAAAAATGGCATTCTTATAGCCTTGAAAATACATACGCTGCTTCAAGTCCCCGTTACATGTATTAATGCACTTCAGATTAGGCAACTGCAATTAGAAATTGCATGCAGTGCAACCTTGGGCTCCATCAACAACTGCAAAATAGCTGACAAGGGCTTGGTGTGTAATTATCACCGTAACGAAGGAGACAGGGGGATGTTTTTTAATTAGATGATTGAAGAAAATTCAATGTAAACATAGGAAATCATGTAACAACGCACTGTAGAAATGCATACGTCACGTATGCCAGATTAGACAACCCAATCAACTTCTGCACTTTTCATTCCATTTTTTTTTCTAAAAGTAATAATCAACATACTGTTCGTGAATGTGAAGAAAATCTGCCTGGTTAAACAAAATTTACCTTTGCGGTAAAACTTCGGGAGTTCTCTGCCCATTTCCTTCATTGCTTTGGCTATTTCCCCGTGGTCCTTCGTGTTATCGGAGGCGTCCTTTAGGTTTCGAAAACTGCACTTGTCAGCTATATTACTTGCTAATTCACCAGAACAAGCGACTCCCAGATAGCCAGCTAATTTTAGAATCTCCGACACAGGATCCTGAAAACACACATCAAACAATATAAAAGGTTGTTCCTTCCTTTTTCCAGATGAGAGATGTCCTCAATTTATTACATGTACCTGTCAAGTGCTTGAGGAGAGCCCCCCCCGATAAAGACCCCCGGGCCGTTTCGAATTTTTTTTGTATCATGAATTATCTTAGTTTCCATGTCATATTTGTGATCAATGAATTCGAAAAAATTACCTAAAATAATTGTTAAAAAATTATCCACTCTAGATATAGAAAATTTCATAAAATGTTTCTTTAAGGTAATTTTTTGAATTGACGGTATGAATTTTATCACGCATATGACACTGATGGATAAATAAGAAAAAAGTCCAAACGGCTCGGAAGTCTACATGGAGGGGGGAGGGGGTTCCTGTCCTCAATTACCCGTGCTTTTTATCCTTTGGTGGATAATTGTGGATGTAGAAATCAACGTGTACACAACCGATTCTTTAAATTCTAAAGTCGCTGGATAATAAAATAGTGAAATCTTATCTTAGAAGCCTTCACCAATTTATAACCCTTGATTGAAAAAAAAAAATTAAAACGGGAGTATATATATTGCAGCTGATGGGCAAAAGGTGGGTCGTGCACTTGATGAAAAGTCGTACCTCAAGGATCAACGTAATATCATCTAGTACACTGATAGCAAGGGATGGGAAAGACATATACATATTTACCTGTAGTTCGAGTTTGCATTCATTCCACTCCAAGATGCCAAAGTTATGTTTCAAGCATGATTTTATTTTCTAATTGCATTCGTTTTGCGACAGATAATTAAATGGTAAATTCAATATTTCTCTCCACCTCTAGACGGAAGAGAGATAAAGTCCCTTTCCATCTACGATTAACGAAACAACTAAACACACCCATCAAACAACGTTGTAAGACTGAATAACCGTGAGGCGGGTCTTACTTTTTTCAATTTTTCGTAATAGAGTGTGTGGAGTGAGTATTCTTTGTTGGCCTTTACAGCTCGGTACAGTTCTTTTTGGAAATTGAAATATCCACCAAATGCATTCTTGTCTAAAATTAAATGGGATAAAAATATATAGAGTGACAAATGAAAGCTTTAATTCATGCTTAAGGACAGGGTCCTTATTACTTTTCATGGTTATTTTTCTTGGACATTTTAATTAACAGGATACATATGTATATAGACTAAATACTGTAGTATATGAAAAAGATAACTTGTAAAAAAAAAAGTTGAAAAGCCTGGGGTTTTTAAATGGAGTCGAAGGTGTCCTCAAACACCTTGGCTATATCTTACATTGTCCTACCACTACTTCTTCGAAAAATTCGGGCCAAGAGACAGATCCACACCCAAGTTCGTTGGACGAATGCCAATGGCAGTACCACGACACTGCTACATCTTTGGGATTTCTGATGACGTTAACAACTTTTCGTCCTGACCGGAAGTGCTCCTGTGGTAACCACCGTACCGGCATGTGAGAATTAAATACCCTGGGGGAGGGCAGCTTGTCCAAAGCAGACAGGTCACTTATCAAATCAAGGAAGACGTGTTCTCTGGTGAGAGGGTGATACTCTGCTTTTCCTTGGAGAAGCATGACGATAATCTCCCATACCCAGTGTGTTCCTGTTGAAACATAGCTAACGTCTTGATTATATTATTTCCATTAAAAGGATTAATGTCAAAGTGGTCGATATAAATTTTGACTAAAAATCAATCAATCAATCAACTCAATTAATTATAATATACACGCCAGTGGAAGTCATATTAGAAAAATTGCTAGAATAATTTTTCTAAATATGACTTCCACAGGTATACTCTGAGGATAAACTTTCAGAAAAATTACGAGAAAGTTCGTTTTGCTGAGTGAAAATACATATATAATTTAAAACAGCATTAAAAAGAACGGAGAAAAACTTTTAGGTAGAGAAATACCATGTTACCGTTATGTATACATTATCTCGAAATTACGGAATTATAACTTTCTCGTAATTTTTCATTTACTACTGGTTACAAAGTAAATAAGCGTTAACCTACAATTTAGCTTTATTTTTAGATACATGTATATTAAAACATAAGCCAGGATTGAGTAAAATTTTAATATTTATAAGTATAGCGAAGTTCTTTACATATTTGATTATTTTAATACCCCCCCCCCCTCAATACACACACATAAAGAAATTAAGTTATTATATTAAGGGGCGTAGCTTCCATTGTGGCAATGAGGCAACTGCCTCACTAGATTTTTCACCACCACCACCCTTTCCCATAATCAACAATACATTGCAGATAATACGTAAAATTAATAGCATTTCTTTTAACATTTTAGGCAGTTCTATAATGTTGAATTGAAGTTTTAAAGAAACAAGATGTGTTTGTGAAACACTGATGCCCCCGTATGGCAGCTTATGGCGAAGATTAATGTAAAGTTTCTCAATTGCAAGTCAAAATCGATGCTAAAAGATGAAAAATGTTGGTACCCAAAGAAAGGTCTTGTCTCGAGGAATATACCTGTGAAATTTGAAAGCCCTAGCTGCAACTGTTAAAACGTTACGGCCAAGGTTAAAGTTTTTCAAAAGTAGGTCAAACTCCTAGGTCAAGGTCAAAAGGTCAAAGTGGATGGTATCCAAAGGAAGGTCTTGTCACAAGGATTACATCTGTGAAGAATGAAAGCTCTAGCTCCAACCGTTCAAAAGTTATGGCCAAAGTTAAAGTTTTTCAAAAGTAGGTCAAACTCCTAGGTCAAAGTCAAAGGGTCAAAGAGGTTGATATCCAGCGGAAGGTCTTGTCATAAGGAATACAAATGTGAAGTTTGAAACCCCAGGCACCAACTGTTCAAAAGTTATGGCCAAGGTTATAGTTCTTCAAAAGTAGGTCAAACTCCAAGGTCAAGGTCAAAAGGTCAAAGTTGTTGGTATCCAAAGGAAGGCCTTGCCTAAAAGAATACACATGTGAAGTTTGAAACCCCAAGCACCAACTGTTCAGAAGTTATGGCCAAGGTTATAAAGTCTGATAAAATTTTGTTAAAGTAGTGGGTCAAACTCCAAGGTCAAGGTCAAAAGGTCAAATATGATGGTACAAAAAAAAGGTCTTGTCAAAAGGAATACACATGTGAAATACGAAAGTCATAGCTCCAACCAATCAAAAGTTATGGGCAAGGTTAAAGTTGACAACAGACAGACAGATAGACAGGACAAAAAAAATATACCCCCGGGATCTTTCGATCCGGGAGCATAATAAAAGCAAAGTTTAATAAGATGCGCTTTCACCTTTAAATGTTTCAAAAGTTTTAGTAAACATATTTTACAACATGTAGTATCATGCTGAAGTCTTAAATAAAGAAACCAGTACAGCAAAAGAAATTTTATTGCATTTTAAAACCCCCAACTCCATTTTGTGTCGGAGTGCCCCCCTCCCCATGACACCACCCGGAACCTGCTGGGGGCTTAAGGCGCCTCAGACCTCTTGCTGCTACATGTATGGTTTTGCCTCACTAGAATTTAAAGTCAAGCTACGCCCCTGTAATTTATATAGTCCAGTAACTGCTAGATGACGTACCACACTTGGGAAACGTTATCATAACTACATCATCTTCGCGTGTTTTCATGTCTCGTAGAGCCTCCAAGTGTTTCCTAGCATCTTTTGCTAGAGGCGGAAAAGGCGGGAAACAGCAGTCATCAACATGAACCAAATCCTCAAATGGCATATCTGTAAAGTATATATGGATTACTGTATCTTGGAAAAATTGATCTTAGTGTACTGAATATAAGAAAACTTTGTACACTTTACAGAATTTACTAAATTTTTACGTGTAGGTAATTGCCGTCATGCACTGATAACACACGTGTATTATTAAATGCATAAATAGCCCGGTTTCCTGGTTCATCCTTGCCAAGGCAATGCTAGTGTTGCGGAGTATACGAAGCATAACAGAAACAGGGAACCAGGCTAAATGCATAAAATACAAGTAAAATTGATGCAAAGCATCAAATCGGCAGCAAACAAAATTTAAAAAGAATTTAAGCTTCCAAGGAAAGCACAAGCTAGTCAAAGCTGGAAGAATTATCATTTTTATTTCAGACTGTCTTCAAGGCAAAAAAAAAAAAAATAAATAAAATAAATAAATAAATAAATAAATAGAAATTTTAGTGCATTTGTTAATTAAATCGATTCATCGATGTTATAAAGTCAGTGATAAATGATAAAAATTTATTGTCATCAAAATGAAGATGTTCAGGTGTCAAGATGAACCACGGGCTATGCCATTCTCTATCAAGAGTTGTCGTTCCCGCTGCGCTCCCACATACTCCTCTGTCAACGCTTGTTATACAAGATTCTTGAAAAAAAAATGTATATGGTAAAAATTATCTTAAAAATTATCTTTAATCTTTTTATTTATCGGTAAAAAGGACTTATTTTTAATCTGGCATACCCTTAAAGAATTTTTTATCCAAGTTTTAAATTTTTACCACGCAAAACAGTTCCTTAATAATCGAGAAAATAAATCATTTTAAGGGATGATGGTTTTAAAATTATTGATAAAATATCATTTTTATTGATAATTACATTAATTCAGTACGATTTTAACTATAATTTTTCACTATTTAAAATTTGTACAAGAATCTTGTACAACGAGTGTTGACAGAGTGTTGGGAGCGCAGCGGAAGACAACTCTGGATAGAGAATGGGGCTATGCTGCACGTGGCGCGATGTAAAATGTAGAAAAATTATCCTTGTGTCATTCGCAGCTGTGGCATATTCAAAAAAAACTTTTACTAGTTGAACAACTTTTTCAATTTTTATTCATCATGCACTTTTACCCTTTTACCACTTAATTAATATCCGGAAAATCTTAACGATTTGCGTTCATATCTTACACACTTTCAGGTTGGGAAGTACCTATTGTAAACTCTTTTAATGTAATCATAAATTAATAATTATCTTATGAAAAATGAAATTGAAATTGAAACATAATAACAACAATTAAGACTTAGTTTAAAGCAAGTTTTTTTGAAATAATTTACTCATGATTTTCTACATGCTATCATTAAAGATTTATTTTACTGAAATAATAAAGAAATAACGTCTCATTTCTCCATGTGCACTTTCTAACACAACCACAAATAGATCGGCCACTGCTGCGGCCGACAATAACTCAGAATATTCGGAGAGCTCTAGACATGCTTACTGAAGAGTTCTAATTCTGATGTTAGTTTTTATGCAGTGAAATTGATCTGCCCTTTGATGTAAGGAAATCTACAGAATATAACACAATTTGAATTATATCAGAGTATTCTTGACATTATATTAGTAAATATTCCTGGAAAAATATGGCAGCTAGATTACTTATGTTGAAAACGAGTTAGAAAAACTCAGTATGTACACCTTTATTTGATATATAATTTTCTCAAAATAAAAAAAAAAACATTAATATTTAGACCTAACTTGTCTGCTATCCAAATTTACAAAAATTTCAGTTTGTAAACTACGGTAATGTCAAGAGTAGCCTTTTCTCACGGAGGTAGTCATATGTATCGGAATAGAACTAAATGTACATTTTTTTAAATTTTAAATTCGCCCACTTGCGATGAGGGCGAAAATTTCCCAGTATGTGCATTATGCAAGAATACATAAAGCAATAGTAACAAGAGTGTTCCAAGGAACGCATGTGTCGCCTGCTTTGTAGCTTTATTACAAATTAAACAAGCATTCTGAGAGTATTGCATTAGCAATACTAGACCCCTACCGGCAAGTGCATGTAATCTGGTTCCCGTTAAGAATTGAAAATGCCATAATTCTGTCAAAAATTAATGAAGCGGGACGAAATGCGAACTTGATCTATAACTAATCAAGGTAAAGCCAAATACCAAAAATCAGCTCAATATCTACAAGCGTTTAGAAGAAAATTGCGGAAAACCCGTAAAAATTGAAAAGGCCGTAATTTCGTCAAAAATCAATGAAGCGGAACGAACAGACGGACGGACAGACTCAGAGGAAACCTATAGTCCCCTCCGGTTTCACCGGTAGGGGACTAATAAATACGAGTGGTCAGCTTTTTATTAGTCCCCTACCGGTGAAACCGGAGGGGACTATAGGTTTCCTCTGAGTCTGTCCGTCCGTCTGTCTGTCTAGCTGTCTGTCTGTCCGTCTGTCTGTCTGTCTGTCTGTCACTCTGTCTGTCTGTCAGTCTGTCCCACTTGGTTTTCCGCACTTTTTTCCTAAACGCTTGCAGATATTGAGCTGATTTTTGGTATGTGAGTGTATCTTGATGAGTTACAGATCAAGTTTGCATTTCATTCCGCTTCATTGATTTTTGACAGAATTACGGCCTTTTCAATTTTTACGGGTTTTCCGCAATTTTCTTCTAAACGCTTGTAGATATTGAGCTGATTTTTGGTATGTGGCTTTACCTTGATTAGTTATAGATTAAGTTTGAATTTCGTCCCGCTTCATTAATTTTTGACGGAATTATGGCATTTTCAATTCTTAACGGGAACGGAACCAGATTATACTTGCCGGTAGGGGACTAGTATTGCTAATGCAATACTCTCAGAATGCTTGTTTACTATTAGTATGATAGTTCATGCATTTGCCTGTAAAGGAAAAAGAGCATCCATTGATGGTATAAGACTGCAATAGAATATGACATTCACAGAAAATATGGTTCCCCAACGTACCTTCAAATGATAATTAAATGTACGTATTTTCAAGGTATAGTGGGTCTTTGCTCCATGTTTTTGTTAGCCAAAAAATGTATATACATGTATTTACGCAAACTTTGAGTAAAGACCCACTCATATCGAAAAATTGTGTTACAGTATGAGAAAATGATCACGTTTGCCCTCTTTAGTGTGTGTATGCTTTTTCATGGGCAAATAATTTCCATCTTTGTGAAATTTTTGCAAATTGTGGGGATTTTACATAAAGTATTCTTTAATTTTAGATGAAATATCAAATGAAATTTTGTTATGATTGAGATTTAATTTTTCACCTTCATGTTTGTCGCATGCACTATAGGCATTGCGCTAGCCTTGTTCGCCCGTCTTCTTTACAACATGATAAATAGTCATTCAAATACCATCTTCGCTAGCCAAGGGTTTCTGATTCACTACTTTCTTCTAGGCGATTTAAGAGGTCTTCAGAGCTCATGTTTATTGTTATACTGTGTACAAAATGCCGACTTTATTTAAAATTTGCTTACTTACTTCTTCACAATGAAGAGAGTAGCGAATCAGAAACCTTTGACCAGCGATGTTGAAATGCGAGAAATGAAAAACGCGATGTAAACAACTATTTACAAGCAATGTTTCGATGTGGAGCACCTTTTGATTATGAAAGCAATTCACTCGCTTAAAGCTGAACACGATTCGTAAAATGAAGAGTTATTTTTTATTTTTTCCGCCATTTTAAATTTTTTTCTCAAGGCATGTTGTTTTCCAACCGCTATACAATGTATGAGCCTAAGCTTTGTTTACGGTTCAGTTTATTTTGATTCAAGGATCGTCTCCGTCAATGTCATTGTGATATACTTGGCGCGATAAAAATGATTTCTGTATGCCTCTGTCACGCCAGGAAAAAATAATAAGATATTCGATATATGGTGTCCGGATAGGGCCATTTGCAAAAGCTCAACAACACGTCATCGAGCTAACACACAACGCGCCATCATGCTAACACAATTATACAAAACACGTCATCGCGCTTATACACAACACTCGCGCTAACACAACTTTACACAACACGCCGTCGCGCTGTCACACAATACGCCGTCGCGCTAACTCAACTTTACACAACACGCTGTCGCGCTGACACACAACTCGCTAACACAACGAGTTGTGTGTTAACGCTACGGCGTGTTGTGTGTTAGCGCGACGGCGTGTTTTTCTGAACGCGCTGTTGAACTTTTGCAAATGGACCTATCCGGACATGATAGATATCAACTGCAAGGATCAATGCATCAAAAAGTGAAATAAACACAAATGCACCTTTAATGAAATAAAACTTAAACAAAAAGGACAAGGTGAGATATAATATAGTACACGCCGCAGCGGCCAGCTAAAAGCAAACAGGTGTAACGAATGCGAAGGGTTTATATTCCCAAGTGCTGATATAGGAGATAGGGAAACTAATATGGCGTATGCCTATTCAACTTTAATTTTTTGGTCAATTTGCTCTACGAAAATTGATTTTTATTTTGTTATTTCGAAATATGTAACTTAAAAAACCCCCCAGACCTCACACAGGTGTCAGTAAAGCGAGTGTCCGACACCAGTATTTTCTCGGTGCTAATTTTACCAGCAACAATTCTAATTTAGTCCACGTGGTGTCTGCTTAGCTAAACAAAATTCCAGAGTGTCTGGTCATCCACTGAAGTCAAATTAAAAACAACCAATCACAAGATTTTAGCCCTACACCCCCAATCTTTGTAGCAAGCTTGTTGACCGCAGATCACTGTTTGAAAATCATGCAAACATGACAATAATTCATTTGTGTATGAGCTATAGAGCAGTACGTTCTTCTGCATGATTTTTAATGTTTACCTTGTAACTTTGACCTATTTTGTGTTTATAATGTGAAAACCTGGAAGTGAATTTTTAATACTATTACTTATACAGATACCCCTGTTCGAGTTAGTGAAGTCCACCTGTCCTTAAGTTGGAGACCTTTAGTCTGACCAAACGTATCTTTATTTTGCATTAAGTTTCAAAGGTTTGTTTACTCAAATTTGAACTCGAGTTGCCTATACATTCTTTCTGGAATGGTACTCAAGGATTTAGAAAAAAGAAAACCAAATACAAAGTAGATGAAGCAAAATTGGGTCAGTGGTATGTTTTATTTTTGGAGGGCCTTTCAATTATAAGACAAACAAGCAAAAAGGGTGTATGGTCGAAGGTCTGGGGTTGGATAAAAATCAATAAACGCAACAAATCTAGGTATTTCCTTTCCATAATAATTATATTATGCCGAAAAATAAATTGTATTTAACTCCAAGGTGAATATTAAATAAAGCAATTAAAGACACTATTTAAGAAGGAATCCATTAAAATGTTTTGTATAACGACAAAGATTTAAAGACTGATATTCTTTTACATGCAGGTATGTAAGAGCAGAAGAGTTATTCCATTGAGTGACTTTGAATACAAACCCTAAAATCTTAAAATAATTTTTTTTACAATAGCCATATGCCACTGGACAATGACCTCAACAGCTGCTTAATCTAAATATAAAATAAGCAAGCAAGCAAGCATGCAACACACCTGCACTGGTGGCTTAAATTCCCAATAACTATAGATCCTTTGTTTAAATCCGGAGAAAGAAGGTGTGTAATTCAGGTAACTCTCCTTTGGAAACTAGCTCTGAGAAAAGGACACGTTAAAAACCTTCAAGCAAAATCAGATGATTTGTTTTCATTCAACATTCGAGAATCATGCTTTGTTCAGACGTATAAAAAGGCACCATGTAATCCATGGACTGGAAATGTGGAGTAGGTTTTAGTATAAATAGAAAGAACTATTTTACTCATTACTTGAATGATAATGATTTTTCCAAAAAAAAGTATTTATTATTTATATGATTTCAGCATACCTTGTGGAGCATTTGATAGATCTACAATCGTGTTAATTTATCCCAGAGAGTTATCTCTCTTATCAGAGGAGTAAGCGTTCTTATAAGATTCTTTATATGTAAAAAAGAAAGAAAAAAAAAAACATTTGTTCTTGATACTGTATATGTTTGTATTCAGATGAAAAAAACCCATCTATTTTCTTTTGCCTATACTTTTCAAACTGTTTTTTTTTATATTTGACAAAAAACATTTAAATCCTGTTTTAAAAGCCTTATATACAATTTGGATAAGTTCTACGTTTTAATGGACCATTTTAAAAATGCTTTAATGTATCAAGTATCATATGTAGAATGTTTATTAGTATTTTTTATTTTGTCTATTGAAATTTTTTTTAAACTCTTGCTAATGGGCGTAATTCCTTTTTTTTTTTTTACAAGCGCATAAAACATTGTGGTATTCTAAGGAAGCAGCCCTTTATTATGTTCTTTTTAGTATGAATTTAATAGGTATTACACTAAATATTATTTTCATACACACCTCATATTTTTAGGTTGTGAAAATAAATTATTACTCATCCTATTCTCTGAGTTAAAATTTCTTCATATCATGGTATGATATAAAAATCACTTCTGAAAAAAAAAAAAAAAAAAAAAAAAAAATAAGCAGCGCTTAATACCTCATACGATTTTTCATTTGAATATAATGCTAGAGCTCTTGATGAAAATCAATGTTTGGAAGTTAAAAAAATTGAAATAGAGCAGAGGGTAATTAGTCCTTAAATGATATATCCATCGTTCGATTATTGACATTGTTCTTTAATAAATGACCTGTTGTAAATACACTTTCTAACAAACATTCCTTTCAAGCCTTTGGAAGAATGTTCCTACTGCATTTAGTGGAGATGCATGCAGACTCCCAGTATTACATAAGAAAAAGGACAAAAAATTCTGACTATGTTATATGTCGAGTGTCTGCTGTGACCGAGGGTATTAACCAGGGGAATTGTAGGCTTTTATGAATGTTTCGAAATATTGACATACTGTTGTGAAAATATTGAAAATTTACCAATTAAATCGCAGACGAGCAAAATGAATTTTTGCAGAAGTAGAAATGTGATGAGTTTAGCATTAAAGAAAATGTAATCAATAATGATAAAAATACTAGTAAATTGTAGCACAACGGGTTCAGGGGGGAAGGGCGGTCAGGGGACCCGGACCCCCTCCCCATCAAGGGTTTTCAGTTGTATTAAACTTGTTTATTAAAGTACACTTTACACTTTTGTAACTTGTGAAAGAATGGCCCTTTCTAAGTTGATTGGAGGAGTCATATATATATATATATATATATATATATATATATATATATATATATATATATATATATATATATATATATATATATATAAGGCTGTGCCGAACCCCATATCCCTTCCCTAACGTAATACGTATTTTATTTTCATTGGTATGGACCCCATTTTCCCTTCTGAAAGAATCTTGGATCCGCCCTTGAATCACTGATAACACTCTATATTTCAATCTGTATTTCATGAATATAAGAACACTTCTCATCATTCGTGGTAGGACTCACCTGATATAAAAACCTTCAAATGATGGAATTTAGCCATTTAACTCTTTGTTCTACGAAATATGAGAAAAATCTAGAGGTACTGTGAGCACTGAGCTCACAAACTGATACCTCTGCTCTTATATAAGTATTATGACAAAGTCATTGTTTTGCAATGGAAAATCCTAAATATCTGTCCTATCAGTACATAAAATAGGAGGTTTACAAAAGCATCGTGTAGTAAAGATTCTGTACATGTCTCATTACATTTTATTCAGTGGTATAGGAGGGGTTGCAGATAAGCGATGGCTATACCCAAGTGATTCGAAAGTACGGACGGACACCTCCATCACCGCATCATTTTCTCGTTATTCGATATTTTCTGTGTAGTTTGTTATGGTAATTTTTGACTACGGAGTCTTCGGAATTTTTATATTGATATGTATCGTAAAACCTATAGTTACTAATCATATCTCCAAAGGTAGTATTACTTAGTATTCTCAATTGATTTAATATACAGAGGTTTAATAAACATCTTATTTAGAGTTCAATAATGCTGACCGCTAATTTGTAATGTATATTGGATGAATAGGAATGGAATTGTCGTAATAATAGAGACTAGTATTGCAATCTCCCTATAATGTTTCCTTGTAATTTGTAACAAGCTGTATCTTTTTTCAATTCAATCAAGAATATCATAGTCACTAATTTCGATATAAGATGAATTTCTGGAAGATTATACATCACACAGACGAATGTATCTTAATTATCTAAATTGACAAAGATTCTGTCGTTACCTATATCCACTGAAAGCCAGGTTTTGTGTTCTCTAGAATTTTTGTTTGAATTTACTTCTGCATAGCATGACTTAACCAGCCAATGTTCTATCATTATATTTGATGCAGATCCACAAATAAAATGACGGTACATGTAGTAGTTTCATGTCTTACGAAAAATAATTATCATGACCTACATGTTTTTTTTTTTTTTTTTTTTTTTTTTTTTTGCAAAAATAGTATCAAACTTTACAGTTTGTTTGAGGAAAATTGAATCATTCAATTTATCGTGCGACGTACTCAAAGGATAATGGGGTCTTTTACCACCTATATTCTAAGAGCTCATTTTAATTAATGAATGAAATACTAAAAAAAAAGTTTTGCTTTGCTTTATATACGTAACAATAGATGGCGTGTGCTAAAACAAAAAATGCAGACGTTGATAACTATGGTATGGACAATTAAAAACAGTTCACATTACACACATGATAGCTTTAAACTCAAAATGCACTGACAGTAAAAATAAACTAAAAATTTGACCATCTCTTATCTGAGATTGTTTGTTTTCTTTTCACGTTGAATGCTTCAACCAAGAGCTGTATAAGATAAGATCTTTATTTAAAGTCGGGTTTAAACAATGAAATAGGAAGATAACAAACAGTATTCAGGCCCAAAAGTACAATTAAACAGAGCAAACACGGAGCTATAAAAAGAGGTGGGATCAGGTGCCATGGAGGAGTAAGATCGACCGGTCACGCCCACAGTGTGACCTTGTCATGATCGGAGTAATCCGTGGATAATTTAGAATGAAAACAACAGCCAACAATTTGGATGAAAGACGTTAGCCAACGACAGACTGTATTTGCAAACAAAGTCATTGTATCTTACAAAGAATTTGCAAAATGTTGACTTTTAACCAGGTTATTGATCATCAAATTATTTGTCAGTAGCTTGCCTCGTTATAGATATTGTTCCTACGTGGAACATTTCCTTGCGTTCGAATTAAATGGGAGACATATACTCCATATGCAGTTGATAATGGAACATTGATACATAAGTAAGGGAAGTTGACGATAGAAAAGTTGAAGCCACATGAATCACGTTAATCACAAACTTAGTTTGCCATCAATGTCTTCCCTAGTAAAACAGTTAAATATTAGTTAAACATCTAAATATAAAGTAGATGTGTCAGACGCTGTGGTGTTTTTTATTGCGAGTTCAGTGGGATATATCAAATCAACGTTTGAATGAAAATGAATATAATTGTTAATTGATAAAATGTCATCAATATATCTAAATGTCTACCGTAATTGAAGGTGACAGAAAGAAACTTCTTTTCATGTACAGGTTTTTGAATAAAATCTTCTTCATAAGAATACAAAAACAGGTCTACATATAATGGGACACAAATGGTCCATGGGAACCAACAATTGTAAGAAATCCTGGTCTCTAATGACTTCATAGATACAAGTATTGTCAGTGTACAATGCTACACAATGTTATGCAAATTACCATTAAACATGTCATAGTTTGTTATTGTATCCACTACAGCGTCCTCCATTGTAATTGTTATGAAATCTCGACCTAGATCTTCCATGATCTTGAATTGAAATATTCAGCAGCATATAAATGTTATTTTTTTGTGTTGGCCGCTAATACGGTTGTTCCTTTGCCAGGACAATGACATGTATATCTCTGCAGGAAGTCATGGGTCGGGGTGCGATCTGTTAATATAGCTTTGGTCACAGTAAGAAGACGGTTCATCCTACATTTTCTTGATCAGAGCATTTGAATGATATCAAGTTGTCCGATCTTCGGATCCAGATATGCTATTGTGGCTATGTTCTCTTTCTGTGTCTTTTACTGCTTGGATCAGATTTCCCGAAACATGTGAATCCATTTTGTCTTGTTTTCATACTGATTTTGACTACAGAATACTTCGTTTACCTGATCAATAGAGAGGCCTCACCGTGGGATGGGACATTTCGGCAGAAGGTGTTTCTCCTCCCAAACACCAGATCCCACCTCTAGTGTAATTGTCCTGTTCTTTATAAGATTTATGAAGAAAACACTTGCTGTGGCCTTCAACTCGACATTTAGATATATCGACGACGTATTGTCAATTAACAATGTTTATTTCTATTCTTATGTCGATACGATATATTTCGGCGAGCTTGAGATAAAAGATACCACAGAGTCTGACACATCTGTTTCATATTTGGATATTTTACTTGAAAAAAAAACGTTAATGATAATCTAACAACCAAGCTTTATGATAAACGTAATGACTTTAACTTTTCAAGCGTCAACTTCCCTTACTTATGCAGCAATATACCTTCATCACCTGTATACGGGGTTTATATCTCTCAGTTGATTCGATACGCAAGAGCATGCTCTACGTATGCTCTACGTAT